CCCCAAAACCCCAAAACCCCAAAACCCCTCTTTTAAACATTCTGGTTGAGCTTAGTTTGAGGATAAATTGTCTATCTCAGACCTCATACTAGAATTAACGAAACAATTGATCATCCTAAGAATATCACCATAGGCCATCTTCCAGGTATTTCTGCTAATAAAGGAGCAATTACTGCTCCAATTCTTCCTCAACTATTTCAAATATTGTATGCAGTAACTGCTATCTTACTGTCGAACAGCTTGGGACAGGAGAAATGCATTGACGCGAAATTGGCACTAGCAGCTAATTTCAGCACAAATATTACTATAATGACAAACTTAGGATGTTGGGAGAAGATCAGGTATAGAATAGCACTAATAACACATACTAATTGGAATAACTGAGTTGCCTCAGTGAAGCCTATCTTGTTGATCAAAATACCGTTGATTGTCTTAGAAGAAAACTCAGCTATTGCAGCAACAAAAATCATCAGAAAAATATGTTCAATAGGTACATATTTTATATAGAAGTTCATTATATAGTTCATTATTCATGAGGCAAGCCAGAACATTGCTGTAACAATAAGATTGTAACGATCCTTCCTGCTAGTCCATATCTGTGTCAGAGGGGATCCTTTGACCTGATTCTGGTCATCAGGTAAGAGCTTAGAATGATGAGAATTGCCTTCAATAATTTCAACATCATTCAAAAATATTGGATCTTTATTATTCATCCTTGCTATCTCATTTAAGATATCAACTGCTTCTTGATCTCGTTGCTGACTAAATAACCATCTTGGGCTTTCAGGAATGAAGAAAGAATTTAAACAGTTTAGAATTCAGATTGTTAAAGTTGAGTAAAAGAAGTATGCCCAATAATCAGTTATCTTCCAAAAATAGAGAGACAAGAGCATCGGGACTCATGCATTAATTATCTGTCAAATAGAGCTTGACCATATTTGATATTTCTTTTGTAGAAACTCTCATCCTGTTGTAAAACTGACACTACACCGGACTGCTCCTATAAATCCATAAAGGAAAATTCACCAGTATCTGGCATAGAGATTCGATGAAAAGATAATTACAGAGAACGAAATTGTTCATAAGATGTAACTAACTCTTGTTCAGATTTTTCTCCCATAGATATCAGAAAGATTTATGAAAACAATAGTCCCAAGGAGGGATCCTAGATAGTACATGCTTCCAAAGAGGCCTATCTTCCATTTTTCAGCACAGTAAAGGTTCATTTCTGTGATCCAGTTGTGAATACTTCTTTCTTCATTCCAATTGATAGTCCAATTATGGCTCTCTCATGCTTGCAGCCTGTCACAATTTGTATATTCTTTTGATGAAGAATCATATCATTGGAATTGAGGGAAAAGTTCGACAAGAGGAAGAGCAAACGAGAGGAAACCGCCCATTCAGAATCCAATAGCATATACTAGAGTTGTGTAAATTTGAAATCTTCCTGAAACTTTTCCAAAAAGGCTGTCTATAGTCATCTTCTCTCTATCTTCTATCTCCATCTTGTGTTAAATTTAGCTACAAATTTATCAATAAAGGGTTTTAAAAGTGGGGTTTTGGGGTTTTGGGGTTTTGGGGTTTTGGGGTTTTGGGG